GGTTCGTGCGGGGCCATTGCTGATAAGCAACCCGCCCCGCCCGTACAGGCCGGGAATATCTCAATCGTATTGCAGCAGGTTTGCCTCCTAAGTCCCTCGGCGCCGCCGGCCAGAGGCGACCACTGGAGGATGAGCAGCTGTAAGAACACATTTCTTGCACTCGCAATGGGGATCTCAATGCTCAATGCTCCTCCTTCTCCCCTCCTACTCCTCTTCCTCCCCCTCCTTCTCCGTAGCCTTCCTCCTCGTTTTCCTCCCCCTGCTCGTCCTCCTCCTCTTCCCCTCCTCCGCCTCCTCCTTCTCTTCCTCCTGCTCCTCCTCTTCCGCCTCCTCCTCCTCTTCCGCCTCCTCCTCCTCCTTCTCCGTAACCTTCCTCCTCCTCCTCCTCCTCCTCCTCCTCCTCCTCCTCTACTTCCTCCTCCTCCTCCTCCTCGTTCTCCTCCTCCTCCCCCTCACCCTCCTCCTCCTCCTCCTCCTCCTCCTCCTCCTCCTCCTCCTCCTCCTCCCCTCCTCCTCCTCCTCCTCCTCCTCCTCCTCCTCCTCCTCCTCCTCCTCCTCCTCCTCCTCCCTCTCTCCGTCATCATCTCCCCCTTCCTCGTCCTTCTGGGAGGGCAGGAGGAGTAGAAGGAAAGGGTTCTGATACCCCTACCCTGCCGTCCCCCCTCTCCTCATTCTGGGAGGGCAGGAGGAGTAGGAGGAAATGGTTATGATACCCCTACATTGCCGTCGTTTTCGTCGTTTCGGGCCTTTGGGGAGGCTCTTGTCGCTACCGATGGATTCGCTTCGAAATTCGGATCAGAAAGCACACCATGACAGGTCTGGGAAGAAGCGGTTTCGGTACATGTTGGTTGCCTCTGGAGGAGGAGTAGGAGGTGGTAGAAGGGCGGGAAAGAGTGAGCAGGCGGGGGATCTCCGATTCAGTCACGGGGGGGTCGTTCGGGGGTTGGTGCGGGGTCTTGGATGCCAGGGGCGGCGCCAGATGCGCTGCCAGTGGGGGGACCCAGCGCAGATCCAAGGAATCGTTGTGAAGACCCTCGACGCGGAAGACCACACCCTCCTGCTCCCCTTCATGGCGTGAGCTCGGGCGCGTCGGGTCGCCCTTTTCCCGGGCGAGGCAAACCTAGTGGTCGAAAGCGGTGACCCCAAGATGGGGGGATGAGCAGGCGCTCCCGCTCTGCTCCAAATGCTTGAACAGTTTCTAATTCAGCTGCCCCCCAGGCATATGGCAGCGCCACGCCGGGCTCTGGGGGTGTCCGGGCGGCCTGGAGGCCGCTGCGCGGCGGGCTGAGCTCTCTGGAGTGGCCGCCGGCGCAGCTCGCAGTGGTTTCGTTCGCCCCGGGCGCCGCGGGCCCCGTGGGTGAAGGCCGCTGCGGGTCTCTCCACTCGCCCTTGTGGCCCCGGGTGGAGGGCGCGTCGGTGGTCGCTCTGGAGGCCCCGGCCTCCGCCAGCACCTCAAATGGCTCCCCGCCCCAACCCGCTCCCCACGCTCCCGCCATACGCGCGGGTCCAACGCGCTGGCACGGTCCAGTTTCCCGTTCGAGGGCAACGCCACGCGGGCCTGGCAGCGCCTGTGTTGCCTGTGTCCAGTGCCAGCCGTTTCGGCCGCACTGGGCATCTCGCATGTTTCGTAGCGGCTCCATCTAGCTTTTTTCACAAAGCGAGGGCATTCATCGTCCCTCATTTTGAACGCTCTGTTTCCCGCTCGGTAGCCTGATGCCCAGCGCGTCTTAGAGCTCTTTTCTAGCACCACTCCAGAGTTAGGGTGGTTTGCCATCAGCAGGTGTGTTGTGAAGACCCTCGAGATTGTGTATATGCCGCGTTTGTTTGGCATCCTGGTCTTGTTCCCATATTGGTGCCCCCCGCTGACCACACGTCAGTCGTTGAAAGTATATGTTTCTGGGCTCCCAGAGCCCAATCTACTTCGAGCGCCTTACTACTCCAAGAACCGATTCGCTTTTGCAGTGTCTTGTTATTTTCTGGGAGGGCCTGAGCCCAATCCGACTTTCGCCCTGAACACCAGAAAGAAGTTCGAGAACCGAAACTTGGGGGGGGGGCATGTGTCGGGCCCTGGGAAGCGGTATTTGTTCGACATTGTTTCGATACTTGTCTTGGTGCTCGAAATGATTGCTGGGATGAGGTCCTTAAGTATGCTGTGAGCAACATAACCCACCACGGGCGATGATAAAGCCTACCCCCCTTACCCCCCTCTATTTTTTTCACCTCCGTTCAACAGGGTTTTATTGTGGAGATGGGCGCGGAGGCCGAACTTTATAATCCACTTGGGAAGTTGCGAATCGAAGTTGTTATCATCTCATTTTGACTGGCAACAGCATCAAACGCGCTGAGCGTCCACTCCCCGCTAAGCATCATAACTTACCTTCCCCGCGACAATCCATTACTATCCCCGTTCGACCCCCGAAGTTTCTTCTCCCCAGTCATTATTATCGCTGGTGGTTGGTTAATCCTACTCCGTGTTGTTGTATACTTCTTCCGGCCGACGCGCAGGCCTTTCGCGGGGGCGCGAATCTCCTCGCGCACCGCGGCCTCTGGCCCAAGCGGCTGCCCCTCTTTTCCGGGTGGAATCGGCGCGAGGGGGCGCACTGATACCCGTGCCCTCTTGCCTTCCGTCGGGCACGTCCCTCTACAGGAGGAATATCCAAACATGGTCAATGAGAAGTCTGGGGGCGACTGCTCCATTATTTGTCCATGTGTTCGAATATCTGCTGACTGTTCGCTCATTCTGCATCGTCCAAAAACCCGCCCGCAGGAGGACATGTCCGACCCAATTAACCCTTGCCGCCGCCCTGACCCTCGCCGCCCTCGCCCCCGCTGACCTCGCCGCTGCCCTCGCGCCGCCGCCGCTGCGCGCCCTCACCGCCGCGCCCTCGCCGCCGCCTGGCCCTCGCGGCCTGCCCAGCGCCCGCCGCTCCCCGCGCCGGCCGTGGCTGCCGCGGCGCCGGCTGCCAGCTCGCCCCGCCGGCTCCCCGCCGCCGATCGCGCCGTCCCCGTCCTCCTCCTCCTCCTTTTCCTCCTCCTCCTCCTCCTCATCATCATCATCATCATCATCATCATCATCATCCGTCTCTCCCTCCGTTCCCTTCCCTCTTCCTTCTCATCCTGCTCCTCCTCCTCCTCTTCCCCAGCCACGGGAAGAGCGGGGCGTGGCTGCCCCGAGTCGCCAAGTTGGGCGGGATCTCTGCATGGCCGACTGCCTCTAGGCTTATGGTCTCAACGAGGTTGAAGCCCGTAGCCTGGGGACCAGACTTCAGCAAAAGGAGCGGGCACACATGCCCCAGGACGAGCATGACGGTTGTGAATTTTCCTAGGGGGTGTCCTGTCTTGGCCCCTGGCAGGTCTTTGGCCTTCCTGCCAGGGTGACAACACAGTCCTCTCCGACGGACCCCACCTGGTGTGTTCGCTGAACCGTAGGACTTCTCTCTCTCTCTTTTTCTCTCCCTCACTGGCGTGCGATCCTCCTCCTCCTCTTCCTTCCCCTCCTCCTCCTCCTCCTCCTCCTTCTCCTCCTCCTCCTCCTCCGTCTTTTCCTCCATTCCCTTCCCTCTTCCTTCTCATCCTGCTCCTCCTCCTCCTCCTTTTCATCCTCCTCTTCCTTCTCCTCCTCTTCCTCCTCCTCCCGCCCTCCCTTCATTCCCATCCCTCTTCCTTCCCATCCTGTTCCTCTTCCTCCTCCTCCTCCTTCATCTCTTCATTATCCTCCTCTTCCTTCCCCTCCTCCTCCTCTTCCTCCTCCTCCTCTTCCTCCTCCTCCGCTTTGCTTAAGTTGCGCGAGCCTTGGGACAGAGTAATATTTGTCCTCCTCCTCCTCTTCCTCCTCCTCCTCTTCCTCTTCCGCTTCCTCCTCCTCTTCCTCCTCTTCCTCCTCCTCGCCATCCCGCTCCTTTCCCTTCTGGCTCTTTTCTCCCTCCTCTTTTCCCCGTCCTCGTCCCATCGCTGGTCGCCGTCCTCTCAGGGGCAACGCTTGGGTGCGGAGGTTCGCGGTTTTTCTTGGCGTGTTCGCTGGACCTCGGTGGTGGCTCAGCCATGGTAGGGTTCCAGCAGCGGCGCCTCGGCGAGAGCGCTCCGCTGGTCTGGGTGCCCACAGGCTGGAGTGATGGCCCGAAAATTGCAGGGGGCGGGACTGGGCTCGGGGGAGGGGGCATCGACCCCAAACCGCCAATTCGTCGCCGAGGAGGAGGAGGAGGAGACGAGCACGAGCACGAGGAGGAGAAGGGGGAGGAGGAGGGGAGGAAAAGCAGGAGGAGGAGGAGGAGGAGGATGACGAGGAGCAGGGGGAGGAGGAAGAGGAGGAGGAGGAGGAAGAGAAGGAGGAGGAGGAGGAAGAGGAGGAGGAGGAGGAAGAGGAGGAGGAGGGGGTGGAGGAGGTGCCCGATCGCCCGCTTCGTCCAGGAACATGTGGTCTTGCCAGCTGTGGCCTATGGCCGACCTGTCGGCGACACGTCGCCCCTTCCAGGTCAAGGCGTCCCCCCCTGGGCCAGCCCCCCTTATCGTTCCCCCTCGCTGGCAGCGGGGACGCCCATCAAGCACCAGATGCGTTTCGGCAGAGCGCGGTGCGCGGTGCCTTCCCGCCGCCGTGGCAGAGGCCGGCTGCGTTCAGGGTGCGCTGGGTTCCCCCCAGGTTGCTTCCTTCACGCGGGTCGTCAGGGTTGGGCTTGCTGCCACGGTCCCTGGTGGCCGCCTGCACACCACATGGTAGACCCCTTCTTCGTGATGGCCGCACGTCGCGTGCACTTGCCGCCCCATGTGGTGGTGTGCTACGACGGTGCTTTGGGGCCACTGCTTCGGCCTGGGCGGCACGGCGCTGGAAAGTGCAGCACGGCCGTCACCCTTGTGGGCTGGGGTGACGGATCTGTTGCCCGATGTTTGTTCACTTGTTCGTGATGCGAACGGCATGCGTGCGAGCCTCCAGGGACAGCATCGACACAGGTGCGGCTGTTGCCACGGAGAAGGAGGTATATCTCCCTCATCCCCCCTCCTCGAAGGTCTTCCAGGCCTCGATGTTCGTGTACGAGGAGCGGATCATGAGCCAGTACTCGGTCCAGGCTTGACACGCCTTTTTCTTCGGGTCCTCTGGGCGCGCCGAGCCCTAGAGTCTCGAAGAGGCCGAGGAGGCGAGATTGGGGAGGAGGAGGAGGAGGAGGAGGAGGAGGAGGAGGAGGAGGAAGAGGAGGAGGTAGAGGACGAGGACGAGGACGAGGAAGAGGACGAGGACGAGCACGAGGAGGAGGAGGAGGAGGAGGAGGAGGAGGAGGAGGAGGAGGAGCACCAAGCATCCCTGGGCGTCCTGGGGTCTCAGGGTTGGGCCTCTCGTGGAAGGCTGCTCGTGGCCGAGCTCCTGTGGTCGGGGGGCGACGGGGCGGCCGGGGCCCCCCGAAGGTACACCGTCACACATGGCTTGGCATCGCTCGGACGTGTGCATTTTTTCCAGGCGAGAACCATCGAGGACCATCCTGGACCATCGAGCAAAAAAAACACGCACGAAACCGAACCATGCACGGGAAATGGACGTCCGAGCGATGGCGAGATGGGGCCCCTTGGGCAGGACGGGGGGCGGAGAAAGGCCGGCGCCGCACCGCCGCGCGGGCTGCAGCCCGAGCTTCGCCATAGCGCCGACGACGCGGGCGCGTCGCCGAGGCAGCGGCGGTGCGGCTCGAGACTCGGAGCCCTTCCCGGAGCACCCGCACCCGTGCGCAGGGGGCCACGCTGGCGGCCTCCGGGAGAGGAGCATGTGGGCAGGGGATCGGAGACCTTGAGGGCACCAGTCGCTGCGCACGTCAGTGCCGGCGCGCTATACTCCGAAGTCGGGCGTGTCCCTCTATACAGGAGGAATAGTGTCCAGCATCGCCCGAAGATAGTCCGGGGACGCTTTGTCGACTGTTCTTCGGGTATGTTTGGGCATGTGTTGGATACATGTTTTTATTGCGAAGGCCTAACGGCCCGTGCCGCCGACCCTGAGGTTGGGGAGGAGGGCGCGGAGCATGGGGAGGAAGATGAGGAGGAGGATAGGATGAAGAGGTGGATGAGGAGGAGTAGGAGCACAGGGGGGGAATGAACAGGAGGAGAGTGAGGCGAGCAGGGTCGCGGGGGGGGCACGAAGGAAGGACAGGGGCGAGTAGAGCGTGGCGATCATGATGAGGAGAAGGAGGGAGATAATGGCGAGGATGTTGACGATGTTGACGACGACGCCGGTTGCCTATCATGACTGGAGCCCTCCTGGGGCGACTTCCAGGCTTCGTTCGCTGTTTTGAAGCTAGGTTCGGCATCTTGGGCATCTGGGAGGCCACGGAGGTGTAGTTAGATTTGGAGGGCGCTGGGGCCGGGAGCCAGGGCCAGGCCGGGGCCGGGGCCGGGTCTGAGGTTAGGACTATGGGGCTGGGGCCGGGGCCGGGGCCGGGCTGGGGCCGGCCGGGGCCAGGGCCGAGGTCCGGGGCCGGCGGGGTGGGATCCCGGGCCGGCCGGGACCGGGGCCAGGGCCAGGGCCGGGGCTGGGACTCGGACCGGCCGAGGCCGGGACTGGAAGTGGAGCCGGGGCTGGGGCTGGACTGCTGCAGTTGGTCTTAGGCGGAGCTGAGGGAGCTGATTCATTGGCGGGGACGCACGCGCGGCCATCTTAGCATCCCCACATCACTAACAACGTTTCTCGAATGTGAATTTATCTTTTTGGTTTATTTAATCGCTTCGCTCATTCCGCCGGCCCATACAGTCTCATGTCTGCCGTTTGCCCGAGGGCCTAGTGTCAATGCGGCGATTTGGGGGTTCCTGGGGCCGCTTGGGGGACTCCTGGGGCGCTCGGGGGGGCATTTGGGGGGCCTCCTGGGGCCGCTTGGGGGACTCTTGGGGGCCTCCTGAGGCCCTCGTGGGGGCCTCTTGGGGCCTCTTGGGGGCCTCTTGGGGCCTCGTAGGGGCTTCTTAGGGCCGAGGGCTCGAAATGTTGTTTCGTGTTCCCTCTCTGGGGCCCCTTTGGGGGCATTCTTGGGGCCCTCTTGGACCGTCTTGGAGGCTTCTTGGGCCGTCTTCGAGCCCTCTTGGGCCATCTTGGGGCCCTCTTGGGGGCCTCTTGGGCCCTCTTGGGGCGATCTTGGGGGCCTCTTGGGCCGTCTTGGGGCGTCGGGAAGCCGAAAAGGTGGAAGCTCCAAAATCTCTCAAAAACCTAAGGAAAAACAATGATTTTTGCCTCCGGGGGCCCTCTTGGGAGTGCTCTTGGAGGCCTCTTGGGGCGTCTGGGGGCTATCTTGGGCGTCTTGGAGCGATCTTGTGGCATGTCGGACCCCTCGTGTACCATCTTGGGGGCCTCTTGGGGGCCTCTTGGCCTTTCTTGGGGCTCTCGGGGACGTCTCGGAGCCCTGTTGGTGCGCTCATGGAGCGCTCCTGGAGCGCTCCGGGGGAGTCTCCCGGGGGTCGGTCGGGGATCGCCCCTTTTCGTCCGGGGACCCCCAGGGGCCGCCCCGCGCGCGCGAACTAGAGAATTGTTAACCAGTTACCGGAGATCTTAGCACGCCTCTGGCCCGTTGGGCCGGCGAATACATGTAATCCACCGAGGGATCATCTGTGCTCACATTTAAATCCTCCTCCTCCCTCCTCCTCCTTTTCCTCCCCCCCCCTCCTGGCTCCTTTGACATTGGAGGTTCGGGTGACATGTGTAGGTCTAATGTAAGATAGTTGCGGTGGCCGGGCGGACTCCTTCCCATCCCCCTAATCATCCTTATGCTCCCCCCCTCCTCCTTCTTCCCTCGGAGGGCGCCGGAGCAGGCGGGGTCGCCCGCGCCCGGCGGAATCCTTGGGAGCCTCTGAGAGCACCAGGGACTTCCGAGAGCCTCCGAAAATGACAGAAAGCCACCGGGAACATCCGAAAACATTCGACGAGCGACGAGCACCACGATGGCGGCGACGACGACGGCGACGGCGGCGACGGCGACGACGGCGACGATAATAACGACGACGGCGGCGACGGCACGACGATGGCGGCGACGACGGCGGCGACGACGGCGGCGACGACGGCGACGGCGGCCCCCTGCGACCCAAGCCCGCCCATGGCGGGGGCGCCGGGCTTGGAGGCCCTGGCCCCCGAGCGGCTCTGTCGGGGCAGCCACCCCATATCCCCCCGTTTGGTGAGGGGTTGCAGACGAGGAGGAGGACGCGGAGAAGAATGAGGGGGAGGATGATGATGATGAATGGAGGTGTTGTGTGAGGCGGAAGAGGGAGAGGGAAGGATCGACGGATGTATGATGATATTAGCTCAGTTGTGGTGCGTGGTGCGCCCCGGATCTCTCGAGGTAAACTTGGCAGCCTCAGCACTCTCACGCGCTAGATTCGATCGGACAACCATCACAACAACAGTCATTGATGATTCCCTACCTAGGCTATGCCTAGAGGGTTCTTATTTTGTTTGCTTAAAGGGGCCGGGCAGTGTAAAACGCCCCGGACGGTTCCCCCAGTCCCCGCCCCGCGGTTCCCCCAGGATCCCCCGCTTTGCCTAGCTTAGCTTAGCTTAGCTTATTAGCTAGCACAGCTTAGCTTAGCTGAGATTAGCTTGACTTAGCTTAGCTCAGCTTAGCTTAGCTTGGCTTAGCTTGGCTTGGCTTGGCTTAGCTTAGCTTAGCCTAGCTTAGCTTCGCTTAGCGTAGCATAGCTTAGCTTACCTTAGCTTAGCTCTGCGCAGCGCAGCATAGCGCAGCGCAGCATTAGCACAGTATAGTATAGCATGGCATAGCCAAGTATAGCATAGCATAGCATAGCATAGCATAGCTCAGCATATCATAGCATAGCATAGCACAATGCAGCATAGCATAGCATAGCATTGCATTGCTTAGCATAGCACAGCGCAGCATATCATAGCACAGCACATTACTGCATGTCATAGCATAGCATAGCATAGCGCAGCATAGCGTATCATAGCATAGCATAGCGCAACATCTCATCTCATATCATAGCCTCACATAGCACATCATAGCGCAGCATATCATAGCATATCATAGCGCAGCATAACACAGCATAGCATAGCATAGCATAGCACAGCGAAACATAGCTTAATTTACCTTAGCTTAGCTTAGCGCATCATAGCGCAGCGCATCATTACCACATCATATCATAGCATATCATAGCTTAGCCAAGCAAATCATAGCATAGCATTACATCCAACGCAACAGCAACACCAATGCGACATGATATATTATATGTATATGTAGGTGTAGGTGTAAATGTGGATGTAGGTGTAGGTGTAGATGCAGATGCATATGTAGGTGTAGATGTAGATGTAGGTGTGGATGTTAATGTAGATGTGAGTCTCGCTGTTGATGTAGATGTAGATGCAGGTGTAGATGTTAATGTAGCTGTCGGTGTAGATGTAGATGTTGCTTTCCTGAATGCTCCAACTCCTAGGTAGGGTCGCACTGGGATAATGTCTGAATCGATTGAAGACAACACGTTTCACAACAGAACGCGTTTCCCGATGATCCGCAACCGTGCTTCGAGGTACGAGTTGGAGAGTCCTCAGGTCCCTTTGAGGCCCAAGGGGTGGATTTCCTCAGGAGGCCTCGGGCCAAGAGGGTCCAATGAGGCCCCCAAAACTATCCAAGAGGGCCTTGATACTGGCCAAGAGCGTTCCAAGACGCCCAAGACGGACTCAAGACGGCCCAAGAGGCCCCCAAGAAGGACATGTCGCCGAGTTAAGACGGGCCAGGGGCCCCCAAGAGTCCAAAAAGGGCCGCAAGGAGCCCCAAGAGGAGCCTAAGAGGGGGAACGCGAATTGTCAGTCCAAGCCCTCCCCTTGCCCCAGTAACCGCCAGCAGCCCCCGAGAGTGAGTTCCCCGGGAGCCCCCGAGCCTAACCCCCGAAAGGCCCCAAGGGTGCCCCCGAGTGTTCCCAAGATGATCCAGAGAGGTTCCCCTACAGACCCCAAGAAGCGTCTGATCCAGGCACAGTGGCGGAATAATAGGCCGCAGGCCACTTGATACTGGAAACCGCCGAGACGTCCATCACGCAAGTCGATTGCTTGGTGAGCTCATGATTCAGCTTGCTTCGAGCAGCACTATCTATCCAATCC